CATTGTGTGCTCCAGCAGCTCTGGCATTCATTCATTCATCCCGTCAGAAAATATGGAGCACCTGCTGGGTTCCATTCCCAGCCAATATACCTCAAGCACAGCCACCACCTGTCTGTCAGTGGAGGCTTGCGTGTTGCTATGATGCAGAACAGGTTTCAGCTGAGCTTCCAGACTAAGATGGACTAGGAAGAAAGGACTGGTGATCTACTTCCAAAAAAATCAGCCCATGAAAGCCTTATGGATCACAGCAGTCTGATCAGCAACTGATCGTGGGGATGGCATGAGACCAAGGAACGCTTCATTCCATTGTGCGTGGGGTCGCCATGAGTTGGGGGCATGGGGGTGGACAGACTCAATGGCAGCTAACTCCAACAATGGTGGGCCAGCCACTAGGAGCAAAGGGGATACACAGTGAGCAGGACAGGGAAGGTTCCTGTTCGCAGAGAGTGGTCACTGTGTGTGTGGGGGGACAAACAACAAACAAATTCAAACAATTATAGATTGTGGGTAAGTGCAATAATGAAACAAAGAGGGTGGAAGGGTAGAGAGTAATGCAGGGTGTCAGGAGGTACCTTGAGGCAAAGCTGACAGGTGTTGGAATCCCAGACTCAGGGCTCAGATCTCAGGTCAACTGGCCATCCCCAAAAAAGCCCTCTCTGATCTCCAAACACACAACCAGCCTTTTTTCTATCAGTCGTCTGATCTCAGAGTTATAATTAAAATAAATGAATAATTAGTTGCTTGATGTCTGTCTCCCTCCCTACAAATGTAACCTCCTTGAGGGTCAGAAGCTTGTCTTGTCCAGGTATCCTGTGCCTATCCCAGTGGCTGTAGGCACTCAATCCATATTTGTTAAAGACTGAAACCAAGAGTTGGGCTAGATGATTTCTACCAGCTTCCAAATTCCATGAACTGAATCAGAGCAATACCTGGGACAATGTTGCCTAGATGGGAAATCCTTTTACTGCAGGTATATTTAGGAAATATGCTTTTCATTACATAATGAGCTTTTTAATATTGAAAATGCTAATGAGAATATATAAATGTGGAAATTATCAGACAATATCAATATCACACACAAGTAAAATTTTGTTGAAGATCATTCAAAAGTGGCTGCAGCAGTACATCAACAGGGAACTGTCAGAAATTCAAGCCAGATTCAAGAAGAGGAGGAACGAGGGATATCATTGCTGATGTCCGATGGATCCTGGCTGAAAGCAGAGAATACCAGAAAGATGTCTGCCTGTGTTTTATCGACTATGCAAAGGCCTTCAACCGTGTGGATCATAACAAATGACAGTAACATTGCAAAGAATAGGAATTCCAGAACACTTAATTGTGCTCATGAGGAACCTGTACACAGATCAAGAGGCAGTTGTTCAAATAGAACAAGAGGATACTGCATGGTTTAAAGTCAGGAACGGTGTGTGTCAGGGTTGTATCCTTTCACCATACTTATTCAATCTGTATGCTGAGTTAATAATTCAAGAAGCTGGACTATACGAAAAAGAACTTGGCATCAGTATTGGAGGAAGATTCATTAATAACCTGTGATATGCAGATGACACAACCTTGCCTGCCGAAAGTAAAGAGGACTTGAAGCACTCACTATGAAAATCAGACTATCTTCAGTATGGATTACACCTCAACATAAAGAAAACAAAAATCTACAACTGGACCAATAGCAACATCATGACAAACAGAGAAAAGATTGAAGTTGTCAAGGATTTCATTTTACTTGGATCCACAATCAACACCCATGGAAGCAGCAGTCAAGAAATCAAACTACGTGTTGCACTGGGCACATCTGCTGCAAAAGACCTCTTTAAAGTGTTGAAAAGCAAAGATGTCACCTTGAGGACTAAGATGCTCCTGGTCCAAGCTATGGTGTTTTCAATCGCCTCGTATGCATGTGAAAGCTGGACAAGGAATAAGGAAGACCAAAGAATTGACACCTTTGAATTATGATGTTGGTGAAGAATACTGAAAATACCATGGACTGCCAGAAGAACGAACAAATCTGTCGTAGGAAAAGTACAGCCAGAAAGTTCCTTAGAAGAAAGGATGGCAAGACTATGTCTCACATACTTTGGACATGCTGTCAGGAGGGATCAGTCCCTGGAGAAGGACATCATGCTTGGTAAAGTAGAGGGTCAGCGAAAAAGAGGAAGACCCTCAATGAGATGGACTGACACAGTGGCTGCAACAAGGAGCTCACGCATAACAAGGATCGTGGTGATGGTACAGGACCGGGCGGTGTTTCGTTCTGTCGTGCATGGGGTCGCTATGAGTCAGAACCTACTCAAAGGCACCTAACAACACATCAATGAGAATGCTAGAAAAACTAAAACCGTAATGGAATACGTCTGAGAACAAAGTGATTTCCATGATAGTAGCACTATTTTTTCTTAACACTACAGGTCATAAATTTTAAAAATTCTATGTAAACAAGGCAAGCAGCATCAACACATTCTGCATAATGGAGGCTACAAGTCGGGGTGGGGGGGGGGAGTGAGGATATCTGGTAGTCCCAGTCCTGGATGCAACTAGATTTTCATCCCCATGTCCTACGACGTCACAGGAAGCTGGCTACACTAATGGTATAAGTCAGGCTGTCCTTTTAACTGAGATTTGTGGCCTGCTCTATTTGATCATTTGATGGGACGGCTCCTTCTCACATTCTTCTTCTTTTGTATAACTGCCTTGCTCTCGGTGATAAAACAATCTGAGAGTTTAGCCTGGGTGTGAATTCCATTTCTTGGGATTTCACAGATTTGTCAGGAGGAGGGAAACCCTGGTGGCATTGTGGTTAAGTGCTATGGCTGCTAACCAAAAGGCTGACAGTTCGAATCCACCAGGTACTCCTTGGAAACTCTATGGGGCAGTTCTACTTGGTCGCTAAAAGTTGGAATCGATGGGCAGGTTTGGTTTGGTTTTGAGTAGGAGGAGAGGAGGAATTTGCTGTGGCTACTCCTTGCCCTTTCACAAGAGCCTGGTTTCTCCAGCCCTCCCTAGGGCCTAGCACCAGCACTGCTGCTGTTTGGCCCTAGGGAGGGGCTAAAGTGTTAACCTCTGAGCTCTGTCTGGGCCCAAGTCCAAGGAGTCACAGAAGGATCAGTCTACAGAAAAGAAAAATGTCCTGAGAGTGCAATTCTACCCCAAGGTCACCTCTTTCTCTGACTCTCCCTGGGAGAGCCAAAGGGCCTGCGGTAGAATGGGGCTTTGGGGGCAGGACTACAGACGAGAAAGGACTATACACTATTTGCTGCATTTATTGAAAACGTTCAGTTTATAAACTGTGTATGTGGTGGGAGGGGTGTGTGTGTGACAGCTGACTACAGGGAAACATGAATATTACCACATGGGAAAAAATCCCAAGGAAAAATCACAGAGACATTTCAAGAAAAGTTTATATTTTCTCCTCTAGAAAATAAAGAACCTATGAACAGTGATTTTTAAAATATATAAGATGGCTCCATGAGAGACAGTCAACTTCAAACATCTTTTCCAAATTATACAAAAAGGGAGAAGAAAAACACTGAGTAGGTTCTGAACCTGCAGTCTTTAATAATTACTGTCACTGAAACCAACTGCTTCAGGATTTGGGTCCTTTGAGATGTCTGCTCAACTGGAAACAACGGGAAAAGAATGGGGCAGCACGTGCTCTTGTCTCATCTCAAGGACACAACTTTAGCTGGGCAGTCACTGCTTGGACCTTGCCAGCCTGGCTGCATAACTGTAATGCTTGGCAGCGCCTCTGAACAAAGAGAAGAAACTAGGAAGCAGAGGGCAGGGACCGACACTCAACTGAACATTTACGGTGTGCCAGACCTTGTGCTAAGCACTGGAGATAGAGATAAATAGGCTTCAATCCTTGCCTTCAATTCAGATGTTAAAGCCAGCTTTACCTCAATATGGTAAGTGCAATAATAGGATTTTATACTAAGTGCTTGGCAACATGATGGGGGCAGAATCCTGGCTCCACCACTTACAACCTACGTAACATTAGACAAATTATTTACTCATTCCTGAGCAAAATGAGGATGACAGGAGTACCTCGGACAGTGCATAGGAGGGTGTAGTAAGTGACATTTGGGCTGTGGTAGGAAAGATTAGTTCAACAGGTAGAAAAACAGCCCAAAAGAACGCTGAAAGCACTTGTAAATATGAAGTACCTATTTTTCTGGAGTTGTCCCTGGGTGGTGCACATGGTTAATGCACGCCAACTGAAAGGCTGGAGGTTTGAGTCCACCCAGAGGCACCTCAGAAGAAAGCCCTGACGATCTACTTCAGAAAATTCAGCCATTGAAAACCCTATGGAGCACAATTCTACTCTGACGCACGTGGGGTCACCATGAGTCTGAATCGACTGGATGACAACTGGTGTGGTGTTATTTTTTCTGGAATAAAATTTGGGTCACATCTGACAGAGGGACAGTCTCCTCCTTTGCAAAACGGGGACAATTCTCATCTCGCAGCGTTGTGAGAACTTCCTGATAATAAACGTCAAATACCAAACTTGGCTCCGGGCGCAGAGCTCACCTAATGGGAGATGTGTTACTCAGTCGGGCATTCTGAGGAATCCAGAAAACGGCACAGGCAGGCCCCAGACATCAGCTCTGGCCTTGCGCCGTCCAGGACCCCCCGAACGTCAGTACTTGTCCGTGTACGCGCGTCAGGGTCCTGCGTTTGGGCCGCAATGGCCAGAGGACCCTGCTCCTCCCTGCCCGGGACACGATGCGCCACCCAGCTCCAGCTGCGCGGAGAGGGTGCCCAGACAAACCACGCAAAATCTGTTCCTGGTGCGACCTGCCTTCTCGGAAACCAACGCAGACGGTTCTCGCCTTCCTCTCACTCCCAGACCTAACCCTACGCTTCCTATAGCAACCCCGGCCGCTAACAACGCGCACCCGCCAGACCTGTGCTCTTCGCGCAGGCGCAGACAGGGAGCAAGCACAGGGCTTCCGCTCGCGCCCGGCGTCTGTCGGGGACCAGGAGCGGGGTGCGCGTGATGACGTCAAGGGGCGGGGCCTCGGCGGCGGGAAGAGGCGGTGGGAGAATGGAGGTGCAGGAAAGCAGCGGTGGAGCGGAAGAGCTCGGGGCCCAAGACCCGTCCCCTGCGCCCAGCAAGGCCCCCAGTAGCACCGGTCACTACGAGCTGCCATGGTGAGGACGCAGGTCATAAATAATGGGTGCATTTCGACGTGAGGATGGGACGAGTGGCGGGCCTTGTTCTTGAGGCACCTAGGGGCGAGAGCTCGTTTTGGGGGATCCTGAGGGGAGGAGTTGGCCAGGCGTGCTGGCGAGGAGATTATTATTTGGAGAAGGCGAAGGACTTGGGTCACTGAACCCACCTGAGGTGGAGGGTGGCCTGTCTGAACTCTGGAAACAGGGTTTCTGGGGGAACAATGCTAGTAACAGCTGCCCCCAACCTAAATATCTGTCGGCAGGTGAATGGATAGACAAAATGTGATACATACTTACAAGGAAGTACCACTCAGCCATAAAGAGAAATTACTCCTGGTGCATGCCACAACATGGATGAACCTTGAAAACCTGCTGAGTGAAATACGCTAATCACAAAAGGATAAATATTGGACATCCCACTTACGTGAAATAGGCAAATGTATAGAGTTTAAAGTTTATTAGTGGCTACTAGGGGTGGGGGAAAGGGGAAGTCATTGCTTAGGGGGCATGGAGTTTCTGTTAATGGTGGTGGAATAATTTAGAAAAGAATAGTGGTGATGGTTTTTGGCACGGTGAACGTAATCAGTGTCACAGAATTGTATGTGTAAAATTTGTTGAATTGGCAAATGTTTTGTTATATATATATTTGCCACCAGAAGTTTTTTTAAATTTTTTTCTTTTTTCCGTACAAAAATTTGTACATACATTGTTATGTGACTCTAATTGCTCTCCCCATACTGTAACAGCACACTCCTCCTTCCCACTCCTGATTCCCCATGTCCATTCAACCAGCTCCTAACCCTCTCTGAGTTCCCATCTCATCTCTGGACAGAAGCTGCCCATTTAGTCTCTTGTATCTACTTGAGCTAAGAGGCACACTCCTCACGAGTATCACTTTATGTCCCACAG